CCGAAAACCATAAAACTGAAGGCAAGGAGGCAAAAGAGGGCGAGGGCTCCCGACGGAGAGCCTCTGCAGCAGAGGACACAAAAGCAAGGGCAGCGGCCGGATCTTGCAATCTGCGGGCTGCAAGCCGCGGCGGACGAGACGCAAAGATGCGAGGCACTGGGACAGGAGAGTCCCTTTCGGCACGCCCACCAAGGTCAGGGTGCGCACGCAAACGCATAACTACAACTCTGACGACCGACAGCGAAATCAAGGACGCCATGCGTGCCCCACCTTCTATGCATCCAGGTGGAAGTATGCGCCAAATCATGACGAAAAAAGGTATGATAAATCTGCCAACTGTGTGTGGAGGCAAGTTGCAAAAGCGAAACGCCGTTGGCATTGGCCTGACCCAAGCCAAACGGCCCCAGGACTGAAGCAGGCGCGGCCAAAGCGCCGGCATGAGGCCTGAAGCTGACACGGGAATTATCATCCCCCAGAGAAAACGCAACTTCTCGGCAAGGAACGGAAGCCCAAAACTCAGAAAGGGATCTGTAAAAAGCTGCCCTAGTGGCGGCACTGCATTGCATTGTAGGCCCGTAAACAGATGCCAAATGCCAAACACCTTCGCCATTGTCAAGGGCGAGAGTGACATGAAGTAAGCGGCCGCAAGGCCAAGTGCGAACACGTTTAGAGGCCAACTCCCATGCACGATACGCAGCAGGAGAAAGCAAAAAGGCAACACCCCCCTGCGATCCATCGCCAGGGGAACCCCCAAAAACCAAGTGAAAACCTCCCCCAAGTGATGCTGCGCCAGAACCTGGCGAACGGACCTCGCTCAAAGCGAGAGCGTACAATCTATGATCTGACATGATGCACTTCAACCTTTCTATGCTGTCGTCACCAGCGCTCTCAAGAGTGCCATCAGCACGCAACTCCAAGCTGTGACGCAAGGTAGTAACATTAAGACCGGCCAAACTACAAGACCTAAGACCTTGCCGGTAGTGGATGCCCCGACGGCTTCGATTATTCCGTTTCGAGCGAAACGTCATCAGCGGACTCTCACCGTCGTGGCAATTGGTCGAAACTTCGTTGTAAGGGAACATGTTCGGCAACTAAGTGCACTATGTACAGGTCGGATTGAGTAGCAAACAGCAACCCGGCCGTCGCCACAAGCCCGATCCACAGGGAAGGAATCAAGAGGAAACCTTAAAGCCCATGTCCGAGTGATGCAGCTGCGTCTACCACTTAGCCAGTATGATGTGCTCCCCCGAAGGGGCGATGATCATCACAAGTAGAAGCATCACACTGTTGCCACCCCCTCGCCACTTTGAGGCAGGTAGTACGTCTTTGAGGGGTTCTACCTACCTACCAAGAGTAGTCAAGAGCCCATGCTTGAGCTGAAGCATGCTGCATCTCGACAGCTTGTTTCGTTGGACTCATTCGAACAATGCTGGACTTGAAGTGGGAACTGCTATAGCCAGGCAGATCAGCTCGAGCAGCTCAAGTCTTTCGAGAAGGTTGGTCGGGTTTGGACGGCTCTCCAATGCTGTGATCCGTCAGCGATCTTCGCAACCTTGCAGGCTGCAGGTGATCGCGCAGCACAGCTTGGGTCTTATTCGATTCTGCGTTCTCTTTGGCCTTGTAAAGACCTACGAGAAGCGTCGAGGTTGCAGAAGCTCGTCAATTCGATTCGTGATGAGCAGACTCGTCTGGACCGGGCCCGCACTGAGCAGGCCACTGATTTCCAAGTCTGGGGAGCGAAGAGCTCGCTGCCGGGCAGTTGTCTTGCACTATTTTGAAATGACATGATTATCTGTTCAAGCGATGCCCTGCTTGACCCATCTTGACCCCCAGCCCGCAGCAATGACAACTCACACACTTTCACAGAGTTCAACTGTTTCAAGCACCTGTACAGGAGCAGGCACTGGAGCACATTAACATGGCCGTTATGGATGCTGGCTCGCGCGTAGGGCATTCAGTCGCAGCGCAGTGCCTCAGCATACGGTGACCTTCTCCAGTGGGTCTAAGGCCTCAGGAGCTGAGCAGAGTATTCGAGCGGGTCAGGCACCCAGACACAAGCGGACAGCACAATGCCTTCCTTGTTGTGCCTGAAACATCAAATGGAAGTCCAACGTGACAGTTTGTTGAAGCAAGTTTGGCAGTCGCTTCTGCCGCTCCAGCACCAGCTTGGGATCGACTCCCTTGCTAAAACTTCTTTGGGCTTTCCATCGGCAAGCCCAGAAAGTCCCGCACGGTGTTGAATCGCGGAAGCATCCCAGAGCTCTTGCCGAAGATGGTTACTGACCCTGAGGTATGGAGCAATTCCAGAAGATGGAGGTCTGTACTGGGCAGCATGTCAGGTTACCGGCATCTAAGACGGAAGCTGATGGAAGTAAGGCCGCAACATCACGCCTCGAGAAGAAGCTGGACGGGGTGGAGCAGGCTGGTCCCCAGAGTTTTGCGGAAGCTGCCATAAAAAGACGTGAAGAGGAAATGGCATCCAAAGCCGGGCTGGTGGAGCATCAGAACGTGAAGGCCCCCTGGCCAAGGATGATTGAAGCACGCGAAGTTTGCAGAGGTCGTATGTGAGCAAAATTTCCCAGAATTAGTGAGAAGTACTATTACAATAGAATTAAGGACGACCTTCGCGTCAGGCCTCCATATCAGGCGTGCAGGATTCCGTAGCTGGACTGGTCCGAGATATGCAGGACAAGGCGTGGCTGAACTTGCTGCAACTGCTGGCTGATCTGGCCTCATGCTTGCAGGCACCTGTACTCCAGGCCCTATTCATCTTGATTGGCTTGTGAGTCCAGTGTCGCAAGCAAATGCATGAAAGCAGATCATAATGCCAGGTGCAGCAGCAAAAGACTCAGATGTTGAATTTGGAGGCAGGACAGCCAAGGTGTTGACTTTGGATGGCTACAAGCTTCAAGCATCCACGAGAAGGCACAGGTGGCCGACCTGGGGCGGCAGTTGCACGATAGAGCAACTGCAACTCAGGCATGGCATAGCATGGCATATTTGCTAAGCTTCGAGGTGTTGCCTGTCAGGCTCAGCAGCTCAAGGTTGCCCTGGACGCCTTGCAGGGGAATGTGATGCACTCAGATTGGAAGGTGAGCTGCTCTCCACATCACATGCTTTTGTGCAGTCAGCTCCTCATTGCCTAAAAGGGCTAAGATACAGAACAGGCTTCCTTGTCAACTTTGTCCAAACTAGCGGGTCTTCGCAGCCGCCATTTTAGGTACCATCATTTGGTATCTGTACATCCCCGTCAGTGTAGCGACAGCGGTCACTTGTGTGACAATGACATTGCTGAGGTTGCGGGTCTCGAGTCAGAGGCAACACATATGTGCAAGTGAAGATATGCGTCACAGGTTTTTGGACCTGCCAGAACCCGTGCAAGGTGCAGTGCAGAGCAACCACTGACAATGTGCAGCAGCCGCAGCCTTACATGTTGGAGCAGGCACAGCACAGAATTTTGAACGATGTTTGGTGTAGCCATGTACAGCATCTCCAGTCCCTTGATCCAACTCACCTGGAATAGTTCCAAAACCCTACATACTCTTCAATCAATGCTCGCATCCTATCTGCCCCAATTTTTGTTTTGTGACATCAGCAAGGATAACTTCTTCCATGTCAGCGGCAGCACAGAAAATCACCATGTTCGTGCCTCAGGCCTCTTGTCAGCTTGTGGTGTCACATTGTGCAGCCATGCGAGGTTGGATCAAACCTTGCAGGGCAAAGCTGATGGTGCCCAGCTTGACCAGCTAGCTGACATGGTGGCTGCGGTGCAGGTGATTCTTCATTCCATGTTAGTTGTACACGTCGAGAACAGCAGTGTTTTTGCGACACCATGAAGCAGGCTAAAGTTCCTGGATTGGAGCAAGACTTGCGCTGCGGTACGCCCTCAGAGGGACACCTCTCTCTGAAAGTGTTCCATCAGTCTGATCTCAATGCGGTACAGGTGCGGGTCGGATTGAAGAGTTGGAGTCCGTCGTCTCAGGGCAGCGGCCTCGTGGAAGCTCGTTTGCTGCCTGGCATCCTGGCATCCTTCTTTCCCTGCAAAGGTGCGAGAAGAAGGCCGCCCTGGCTGAAACGCAACTCCAGAGCAAGGTCTACATCACAGAGGTGCTTTCTGCGCATCTTAATTAGCATCACAAGCGCAAGGTCGACATCAAACAACTCCAGCAGATGGAGAACAGCTTGGCAACTCTTCAGAGCCACATCGCGCAAGCCGCAGCCCTCGGTTTTGAGTTTGCACACTGGGTTCTGCATCTAGATGATCCTGCTCAGGTTCAGCACACCTTGGGGGAGAAGGCTTGATGTCGACATCATGGGCCACACAATCTCCACCCTTTGCGCATAGCTTCTCAGGCCGCCACATCAACTCTGACCAGCTTAAAGACCGGTCTGGGAACGTTGGAGAGCAAAATCGGCGAGATGGAGCAGTCTATGCAGGACGCTGACGGAACTTGCATGCTGGTCAGACTCAACAAGCCGTTTTCTGCTGCCTACTTGTTTGATCTTTGCTAGCTGCCTCCTTCTTCAATGTGCACTTATGTTGCAAAAACCGATTGTGGCGGTAAGCGCTGCAAGAAGGTCCGCGCTGAATCTCGAACCTGGTTTTCAGTCACGTTCATTCCTTCAGCGCTCAACTGCCGGTCGTTGCGATTGACCTTGGATTCAAAATTCAAGCTGAGTATCACTGCTGAGGGAGACCTTGCAGGAAAAGGCCAGCAACAACAACCTCCAGCAGCTGAAGCAGGCCTGTTAGCATCCCTGCTGTATCCATGTGTTGAAGGTCGCGGATTATAGTTCGCGCCACCGTCAATTTTCCGGCTACTGCGCATTGATTCAAGAAATCCTGGTGGGAGGCCCTTTCCATGGTGGAAACAAAACTAGGAGGAGTGGACCAGGCCCGTGACGACTTTTGCAAGCAAACTCTTATTGCTTGTAGCAAATGATTATGTGCACCCTCATGCCTGCGCGAGGCAGTCCACGAAAAAGTAGGTGCTGGTCAGATGCAGCAGCTCAAAAGTATCGTGCAAGCTTCCAAGCCTTTGGCTTCTGCGGTCCAATGCCGCTAGATAAAGGTTGTTCAGCTTGTTGAGGATGGGCATCCAGAACCAGGCCAACACTCTGGAGCAGAACTTGCATGACAAGGACAGACTTGGGTGAGATGACTGGATCTGTGGTGTTCTGAAACCTCCTGTAAGATTACAGGTTGGCGCCGAACAAATTCAGCAATTGAAGACAGCACTGGCTGCATCGCAGGCCAGATGCATCGCATAATTATGCGAAGGCTCTGAGTTGAAGACCATCCGAGGCTCAGCTCTCAAGCATTGAGCAACAGTTGCAAGAGAAGGCCACGGCAGGTCAACAGCCTTTGGCTCAGCGAAGCTCAGCGAAGCTCCCGTAAGCTACTTTGAACCAATCACCGGTGCCTCGCCAAGGCAGCAGCCCGGACCTCGTCTGCACACAGGCATCGGATGCAGTCATCAATGCGCAGATTTCCTCACTGGAGGTTGAAGACCTCTCTGACGACTTTGGAAGCGAAGGTCGTAAGCTGTGACCAGGCACCTCTTCGAGAACATGCCTTACAAGTCAAAGACAGCCGTAACCTTGCAGGGATGAGTTTGAACGAGTATGTTAGGTTTCATGTTTGTGTCCGCTGGCCTCCCCTTCTGCCTGTCACGGCCGTGTCTGTTTTCTTTTGCTGTGGCTTGGCGCAGGTTCTGCAATCAAAGGTGGATGGAGTTTGGACCCAAGCCGGCAACAGCAACGTTGTTGCCATGGTCGACTTGTGCCCCTATAGTTAGTGAGCTAAGGTGCAGTGGAATCAGTTGAATGACTCTGTCAGCGTAGTGCAAAACAAGGACTTGCACCAAGAGCTTCTCTTTCTCGTGCATAAACAAGTGTTGCTTTGCAGTCAGGTTTGCAACATCGAGCGCGGCGTTTGGGAAGGCATGGACTGCGTTCAGGCCGATTCCCGTGTGACACCTGTGTTTTGTTGATTTTTGTTGTGTGTAAAGCTAACCATGCTTGCGGAGGAACGGAGAGTTGCTGACCTGATCAGTGCAAGTAATACAGGATGATCCTCCCCGGGACCAGGTCCAAACGCCTTCCAAGTTTGAACCCGCTGCTCAGGGTAGCTTGTTTGATCAAAATCCTCGTACGCCCAATCGCAAGCCTCGTATAGAAAATGCAAGGCCCACGAAGGAAGAAGTGCCCTCTTGAAACAAGAGATGCAAGAAACAAGATGCATGTTGTTAGAGATGGACAGGCTTTGGAAGGCGCCTTGACCAGCTTGAAGGGACAAGCGGCAACGATGGAGCACAACATGCAGGACTGTCCGAGATGCATGGAACTTCTTTCTTCAGTGGAAAACGAACACATCGTGGCTGGGAATGCTCGCAGGAGAAGGTCACTATGGCAGAATTCCAACGGCTTGGTGACGCGGTGCTTACTTTGAAGGGTAAGGCCTGGTGGCAGCCGAATTGCTGCAGACGTAAACAGACACACAGATGTATGTAAAGGTGGGATCCTTGGAACAGAATCTCCGAAAGGGTGCCGAGCACGTAACTGACGTAGAGGGTGCTGTGGCGGGCTTTGGCAAGCAGCTTGCTACCTTCAAGCAGGCGGGGTTGCCTTTCCGGCATGAATCCAAATACTAGGATAGCCCTTGTGGCACTTTAGCTGGCGCTTGCGATCGTCAAGGTGTTTGGTGATCTGCACCAATCTTCGCAGGCTCGGCCTATTCTGAAGTAGCTAGCTGCTGGCTGTTGCGTGCCTGCTCAGAGCAACGGCTGCAGCAAGTACTGATGGGACTGCTGCTCTCACGCACCTGCAACATGATGAGTAGCTGGCAAGAACACAGCGCTGGAGCTCTTACAGTAAATTGCCGGTTGGTTGAGAAGGCCCGGATGCTGACGCTGGACCTCGACCACGTTCCAGGACAGGCTTCCCGTACAAACTTCGCCATGCTTCTTGCATGTTGGTCAGTTTTTTATGGCCACAAACCCTTGAGCCTTGGCAGGAGGAGAACGCAGAAGCCGAGCTCAACGTGATGCCCCTCGATCGGCCTCCAGAAGTCGCAGCTGAGAGCTGCGCGAGATCCGTGTCACATGGAAAACTTGTTATTAGTTATTACTGGCATTACTGCATACCTGAGAATGGTAGCTACGCTCATAAATGACATGTGACCGGCATCTGAACTCTCTGACGCAGAATTCATTATCGCATGCGGGTGCTTGAGTGCACCGGCACGCAGACATTGCTGGGCAGCATGCTTTACCGCAGTATCGACGCAGTGATGCGCTGATGCTCATGACCTGCTGCAATCTCTCCCGCTAGGGCTGATTCGATCAGTGCGGAGATGGACATGATTCGGCTTGGGTTAGACAGGGAGTCGCCGCTGGCAAGCCAAGAAACAAAGGGGTGCTCTTGCTCTTGCTGAAGAGGGTGAGGTCCGTGTCCTGGTGCTTGTCTTTCATGCTAGCCAGGGAAGACATTTAGTTGGCTGCTAAACGGTTTCTGCAAGGATGGCGCGACATACCGCTCTTCTCCGCATGAAACCAAGCCAGACAACCAGGCACGCCTGTGTTTGTTTTTGACAGGTCAGAGTCGCCTAGGTGCAGGGCTTGAATTTGAGTTTAAGATTTGAGTATGGAGGCATGTCTTGCGGCTTGCCATTCGAAAGCAGAAGAAAGCTTGCTGAGCCGGCAGGTCAGCAGGAGCACACCTGCCAGTGACGTCCATCAGGAGGACAGTGCCCTGGAACTTTAACGTAGAGTGCAAGCTCAGCAACAGCAAATTAGCCGTGGAGGATGATGATCTGGATGAGGCGGAGTCGGAGAACTTCCAGCACAAATAGGGATGAACGTGCAACAGCCAACAGCCAGCCGCCCTTGTCGGGCACTGCAACATTGACCAAGCATCCGTATTGGAAGGATTTCTTGAAGCCAACGTATCCCTACCGTTTGGTTTTACCAGAGATGCGTTCAAAAGAGAAGGCTGGAATCAAGGCAGAGGCCCCGTCTCAAGCCATGTGCTCATGCCTCCAAGGCCGGCGTTTGAAGATAGGTGCGCATTGCATGGCGAGGTCGGACATGAAATGAAAGGCTTCAGAGGTTCGGAAAAGCACCAGAAGAACCTGAGGCACGTCAGTAGCTCGCAAGCAAGCTAACGGCAAACCGTTTTCGTGTAAGCGGCGCCCAATGTTTGAGCTAGAGCGGGCATGGCAAGCAAAGCGACAGGCAATTCCATTTGCGACACCCCCAAGTATTCAAGACTCAAGACTCTGTGCTCACTTTCGATCCAGGCAACACGTAGCGACACCCCCCCGTTCCCCCCCAAAAGTATTGCTGTCAATACCTGTCAAGCCTGCAATAAACTCCATTGTCCAATGGATACCTAAGGGATATGGACAGTATCTCATGATAGGACGGCAGTTTGAGCACAAAATCCTGTCAAGCTCTAAAAATGGACATGTATCCTCAATAGTGACACACCCATGTTGCAGCCAATACGTTCTATGGATCCTCCTGTTGCGATTCTTGAAGGTCAGCAGACCCAGCACTGGAACGAGTACTGGCTTGGACCAGGTGCAAAGTGCGCTTGAAGTGTTGCGTGGAGCGCGCTCGTAACCCTGCCAGGACATGAGGGGCGTTCTCCACATGATGACTGCGGCAAGCGACGATCAGCTCAGTGCTCATTGTGTTTTAACACTAATCTTGTGACTTGGCGGCATATGGTTTGCTGCTGAAGACACATTGCAACCTCAGGCTCTCGGGCTTACGCGACTCCCTGACTAGCCAGATGGAGCAGCAGGCAGGAGACTCCCAAGCTGGACATCTCGAACAATGATAAATTTGCGGAAGAATCCAAGGACATCAGGATATCAGGCAAGCCTAAGACGAAAAACTTATCTTTGCATCCCGATGAGGCTCAAGTATTTGTAGCCCTGGGGGCTTAACCTTCCTCTCGCCGGATGGTCGCATCATAAGTACGTGTAGGTGAAGCAAGTATGCATCATACATGGATCACAGAAAGGCAACACTTGTGCAATCGTGAGGACGGTAGTTCTCCTTCATTCGTCGACTTTGTGCCAGACATCCCTGTGATGGCTGCACATCATTTAACAACCAGAGTCAGACTATTTGCTAAGAACGCAAATTTCAGCATTACCGTCTGCGGCATAGTGTGTCACTTTCGCGCTGTTGATATGGATGAGGAAGCTGCGCATAAGCAGGCGGGAACTGAAGTTTGCTGACACCTGGCGGCGGGGCTCCTTCTGCGAATGCAGGCAGAAGATGAAGTTTCAGGTACCCGCACGCAAGAAATTGCCAAAGACCGAGACAGGCACACGACTGCGTTCGCTAGGTGGCAATTGTTGACGGACTTAGGCGTGTACAGAGCAGCCGTGCAACATCCAAGAGCATGGCATGTATGCCAACGTCGCCGGTGGTGTCACACGTGACTCAGGTTGGGTAATATTTTGTGTGTTAGCCGGCTGTGGACCGTGGTGTAGTGAAGCGCAGGTGAAAGCGCCACAGCGTTGGCAAAATCCAGCTCCGTGGCAAGCTCACGTGCTCTTCATCTCCAAAGGTCTCTACTGTTGAAGCAGCATTGAACTTAGGCACCTGCATTGAATCCGCCACCGCGCAAAACGCGGCCATTTGGAACGAGGCCGGTCCAAGACTCTCTGCCTGATTGTTTAACTTTCCGCATGCCAGGAGTCCTTTCGAGGAGGAGATTCGGTGCACAAAGCCAGTGACTGACAAGTGGGGCTTCCCGAAGCCTCTTCCCAGCATTCCTCCTGTCGATACCTTGGGCGTCGGTTAGAGTCTTTTAAACACGTGCGGCTTTGTGTAATAGCATGTGCTCAAATTGTTCTGTCAAGGCAGAGGCCTGGAATTGGAGGATCTTGACTCAGACTCTTGGAGATGGCAGAGACTGGCAGAGCATCAAGTTTGCCAACTCCCGGTGCTCAGGCACCACCTACTTGGAACAAGTAACGAGGGTGTGCCCAAGGTGCAATTGCACAGGGTTTTCTGTGGTTGACGAATCTGTTGCCTGCTTTGCTCATGTTTCGCATCAGGGCCGACGGACGTACTTCTCAAAACCTGAGACCCTAGCGGAGTTGAAGGAGGCACTTCGAAGCAATCCTTCGCCGCACTCTCAGGGCACTGGCCACGATTTCTGCTTACATGCATCGAATGGCACCTTCTGACCCAGGATCAAGAATTCTGAAGGCATTCTTCAGAGACTTGAACTGGGCGATCTACCGCAGCGACCCAGGCAAGCAGTTCGGAATGGTGTCAGGGAATTCACAGCTGGAAGCAACAACAGTGTCATGAACTCTTAGGTCATTTATCACGCCAGATGCGGGCGCTCCGGTCTGTCCAGAGAGACATGTGTATGGCGGAACAATGCAGCCTGCTCGGTTTGGAAGTCCACCCGCTCCTCACCTGGTAGCTGAGCGTCTCAGGTTGGATCGTGACGGCATGGGACGAACGTGGAACGGCCGATGGCATGCAGGCAGCTATTCCTCCCGGGTGGAAGTGTTGCAGCCAGAATTGGTGAGCGTGGCTGCTAGTCGATGGAAAGAATGTACAGTACCTTGATAATGCACCTCCACCATCAAGACCACAAGTGCCATTAAAGCCAGGCATTGCAATGATCAACGAGCACTGTCATCCGTTTGGCGCTCGGGAACTGGTGCACGAAGTTCTCATTTGCGGATTCGCCGGCAGAAGTCAAGTTCCATCTCATCAGGGATCATCGGACCTACTTCACGCAGCGATCACTTTTCGAGAGATCACCGTCCCAGCAGTACCGTCGATTCCTGCACCAGGCAGGTGGCAACGGCCTGGCAACTCTAAATTTGAGACTTTGCCATTCACATCAACTGACCTGATGTACTAGGACATGTTAGGATATGCTAGGATTTTGGGCCGTTTTCGTGCTTCTTCAAAGCTACTTCGCAGGAGAGAAGGCCTGGTGAATGGGTCTCGATCGATCAACGGAGGCGCAGCGATCCGAGCTTTTGCTTCCATTCTGAGTGATCCTTCAAAGAGGCCGGCTCCATTTGGCCCGTTGGGCGGTCTGCTGACCGGCCGTGGAAGACTCAACTCCCACTCCTGGTAGAGACTTTTTTCTTTTGTTGTCGTGCTCTCCAGCGGCTCACGTCTGTTTGTGCAAGGTTCTGGTGCACCAGTTCCAGGAGCAACGCCTTAATCGCATCTCCCTGAGCTGATCCATGAAACATGTGCCTCTTACGTTTTGTTCCTTGGAGCTTAGACCGCCGCTAAGTGCCCTAAGTTCCTTCTCCAGCTCGCCAAAGAGCAAGACTAGTAAGAAGGTCGTGCTGTCCGGCTTCGCGAAGCGATGCTGGCAATGCCAAGCTTTAACTTTTTTTGCCCGGATACAAGCCAGTTACACTACCTGCTCAAGCAGAATTGCTTGAGCAATGTACAGTACAAACCTTCACGGATTACCTCTGGTACAAAGATTTGATACAGCAACTATGCCAGGATTCAATGGCCAAGTCTGCAGAGTCACTCCAGGTAATTCTGACAGATCATGACAAGCGCAGAGCCTAAGGCTTGGAGATCGTGACACGTGTTAAGATGTGAGGGGCAGCAACACTTGCAGTGCCCCATGGAAAAAGCCGCCAGAGTCACTGCCAGCAATCGCTGAACCGCGGGGCGCAGGTCCCAAGTGCTGGTAGTGGCCTTCCAGTGCAGCCAAATCGAGCGACATCCGGCAGGAGCAACTCGCGGCCAGCATACTTTGTTTGATGATAGACTCCACCCAGATACTGCAACCTCCAAAAATGATAGGAAAGGCTCGCGCAGAAGGTGCTCCCACATTCAAAGTCAAGAGCAATCTGATAGCTTCTACTCTTTCGCACGAGCAGCACGAGTCCAGCCCCAGCTTGGATTACTGAATGTGATTCGGAACAAGAAGTTTGTGAACTACTTCGCGTCTGCTTGCCGCGTTGCCATTTGCTGAATTAGGGTTGGTCTTGATGGTGCTACCTGGGCACGAATGAACTTGTTTTTCCTGATAGTGCCATCTGTTGGTTGATCACCAAGTTCTCATGGAAGGAGTTCTTCCTCCCGTGCCATGGAAGTACGGCCTGGCAGCAGGCAGTGAGTGGCCGTGCCGGTTGCAGAGCAGCCGAGTATGCGGAATCCTGCGTCAGGCCTTCTTCATCCTCCCGCCCAACATCAGCCATCGCCGATGCAATTCAGGTCCCGCCCCTTTCCCTGTAGACTCAGACTGCCCAGTTCCATTGTGCTTAAAGTGAGATTTTCCCTGCCAGCCAAAAGGAAGAATGCTCGAAAACCATCCCCACTGTTGCGCTGACTTTCGAAGAAGTTTCAAGATATTGAATGGGTTGAAATCAGCCCCTCAAGCCGCAGCAAGACCGATCTCGTAGTGACTTGACGGGTGCATGTGACAGGATGCTGAGCAGTCTGCCTGCCTCGATGGAGAGTGGCCAACTTCCACTTATTGAGCTGGGTTGCCCTCGCAGGCGGAGAACGCACGCGTGAAAAAACTCAGCGAAGACATGGAGGCTGCGGTCAGCGGTGCGAATGTGTTTGCTTTCGTGACACTGCTAGGCCCGGGCATCTTCCAGGCAAGGATGAGTAAGTAAGCCTTTGCCAACAGCTCGCCCGTGCGTTGCAGCTATGAGGACGCCTGGGGAGGGAGCAATCTCTGGCGGATCAAGGCCGTCTTCAAGGTCATGTCCTCATCCTGACAGCGCAGAACGAAAGTTTAGCACTGCAAAAAAAAAAGCTTCAGCCAGGTCCAGGAGCCGCAAGCTTCCGCTTGGTCCAGAGGCATTGCAACAGAAGTAAGGACGGACCAAGGTGGGTGAATCTTGCGTTGCAGGAAGCAGCACAGGCAGCACCACCATCGGCGCTTGCATCGAAGGCAGTCTGCGAGAATTGGGTGTCAAAAGCTCTGCGTGCTGCAGAGCACATCAGGCGCCACCATCCCGGGATTCAGCATGCAGCACTCAAGGATACCCTGGTCCACGTCTCAGTGCAAAATGTTCGGCAGGAGACATCAGGAGACGGACAGGCTTTGAGCATAAGAAAAAGAAGACTTGGTCAACGTCAACATCACTAATAGCTTACCAGCGCAAATATGCTAGCTCCTCTGCTCCTCGACTCCTCTTCTACTTGTACTAGCACGCTGCAAACGACCCTGTTTGTGTTTGGAATGGGTTGGGAATTTTGTAACGTGTAGGATAGTTTAGCGTTCTGGATCCTTTAGGGTTGAGGGTTGGGTTCACCGTTGTTGGTAGCAACCAGGAACTAACCTAAGCTCCACCGCCGCGCCTCCTTTTGGTGCTCGAGCAGAAACGAGTCCCTGCGAGGTCGGCGAATGTGCTGAGGCATGGGGAGTGGCTCGTGTTGACACTCCCCATTCTCTAAAAACTTCAGAGCATAGAAAGATGCTCGAGAGCTCTTTGAGCAAACTTCTTTCAGTCCTTCAGGACACGAGGCTCATTCGAGCCGGGGAACACAGCAGTAGCATCAGACTCACCCCAACGGACGGCACGCAGGTAGTTGGCGAAATCCTTGGTCTTGGCACTCTTGGAACTGTTGTCCAAGATCCACTGGAGGTAGTCTTTCATCTCCTTGGTCTTATCCTTGGCCATCTCCTCGTACGAGAGCTGGGAGCTCTTGAACTTGGGGAGAGAGCACA